ATTTTATCTTATTTTACCCACTCAACAGCTATAAATGAGTTACCGATGGTTGCTGCTGTTCAGCATTCACAAGTTAGGGAGTATTAGTACTACCTCGAAGCTTCTACCGGCAAACTTCTCCATCTGCAAATGCCAATTCAGCTCCTACTACAATGTGCTCCCGACACCTATCTGCACTGTCTCCAGTACACTAACGCACACTGCATATATATATATATATATGCTGGCACTTCTAGACTTTTGTCCCTTTCTTTCTGATATCTCTATGTCTGCTCCTCGCATCGAAGCAAGTTAAGAACGAAGACATTTTCAGAATTATTTCGTAGAAATAGTCTCTTAATTTGCTTCAATTTTCAGGCATAGATCTATTTCACTACCCATTGAAAATAATTTCCAAGTAAAGTTCCCCGGTATCGTTGCAGTTCTGTAAAATTTCACACGAGGGAATCACGTTGTTTTCTGTTTATGAGATAAAGCAAAATTGGTCTTCACGAAGTGGCAGTAGGTTAATCCAACTTTTAAGGCAGTTGATAAAGATGAACAAATGTTAAAATGACATTAAATAGAATAGTGGAAGCTAACTACTGCTAACACTACAAGGAAGCATGTAGATTACATCTGATATTGAGTGAAAAGTAAAGAAATTTCTGCAGAAAAGATAGGCGAAATTAACTAAGTTGGAAGGGTATATTTATGTGACTTTGGACCACATTTTAAAAGTCAAATTTGCACTATTTTGCATAAATGGCTCCTTATATTCAAGAAGAAATACGACCAAAAATTAGAATAAATCAAGCAGTTAGAATAAGTTTCAAAACTATTTTTAAGTTAGTTGCTCAAATAATTGATTTTTATCTTTTCATTATACTAAATCACTAAAGTCTATTTTGACTAATTATTCAATTGTACAGTTGATTTAAATCTAATAAATATGATTCACTGAAAGGTGCATTACCTGTTTATGAACCAGAGAGAGGTTTGAAATGGTGTGACGAATGGATTCCCGTGTCCAATTAGAAGGCTTTGCAGCGTTCCTGCAAGATTAAATTGCGTTATTGACTACTATCAACTTATAAGTAACAACTATTTTTCTTCTCTTCCTTTGCTGCAATCTACGTTATTTGCCCATTGTGAGTTCTCAATCAAATGGTCCTTAAGTAAACTAAAACAAAAATCCAAAGTATCTTACAGTTTCAAAATTATACAACTTATGCTAGAGTCAATGAAAAATGTGCCTTCCAATTGTTAATTGGGATTTCATAACAAAGGCTTTAATTGACGCGAATGGGAGTCACTTTCTTGTAAATTGATGACTATATTTATGCCCATTAAATTTATACTAATCTTTGTTCGTTTTTGCTGTTAACAGAGAAGAGTACTAGATTTGAGAAAATACAAAATGAGATTACTAAAAGCAAATCCAGACCCTTCTTCTCAATTTGCCTTCCATATTATGATATCAAGTTACTATAATTGTAAACATGCACGTATTTCAGAAAACCGATATCAAGAACATACCCTTTCAACGCTAAGCACTACTGAATGAAATTATCCCTAAAGTACACAAGCTCTGAAGACGTTTAATGCAAAACGAAAATTAGCAAATTTTAAATTTAATCCTATAAGTGTATTTTCCATTGTGACCTACATTGTCCGCATCAATATTCTCGTTTAAATAAATATGCCTATGAAGAAACTCATAAGCAATGCGAATTACTTACGGTATCTTATCAAAGGTTTGGAAAACATCAATTTCATTCATTCCATTCGCGGCAGATCCATTCTTCGATTGACTTGTCTACAATTGAAATTAAATAATGAAATTCTTTATAAAAATACGTTTAGATTTATATAACACTCCTTGTTTTGCCAAGTAAAGAGCTAGTGGTACACTAATAAATCGTAAAGTGAAATAATGCTAAATTCCCAATTTTGGGAGCTAATAATTGGTCAAAATGCAATTAAAACTCAAAGCTTGGGGGGGGGTATTATTATATCTCTGGTTTGATTTTTTTAAAAATTGGCAAAACTGGGATTCATAGGGTTTTCTGTTAGTTTGGTACTGGCTCTGTTTTCTAGACAAGAGCGAAAGACGCCTTAGAGACGAATGTATCGTAATTATTGAGTAAAAGGGAACGCGCGATGACTCATCAGTTACCCATACCGCAAGTTGTGTTGATGCCTGTTCTGAGTCCTTTTCGGCAGCCGTTTCACGTTGATTGTCTACTTGTCGTTGGGACTTATCAGCAGCGTCTTCGTGAGAAGTGCTTGCACGTTCAACCGTAACAGGCGAGGGGGGTTCAGGGATTAGCTCTCTGGATGCAAGTCTTTCCGCTTCAGTTATAACTGCAAAGAAATTGAACACAAAAATACACGTTTGCATGAATTTACCATGAAGTAATTAAGAGAATGACAACAAGAGAGTTTACTGACGAATGTTTAATGAAGGAATAGTGTGCCAAACTTGACAAACAAAAAGAATATTGACAATTTATAAAACTGAAGGTGTTAGAATCCCGAGTAAAAAGCTCCACGTAGTTATTTCATCCCAATTTCAATTTTATGCCTATAAATATTATTTTTTAAGGACCGAAAAGTTAACTTAAAGGACTTAGAGGAATATATAAATTCACTTCGAATAACATTTAAATCCATAACCAAATTAAAACAGGAGGTTGAAAGGCTGTCAAGGGAAAAATGTAATAAGACCTTCCATGGGTGGAGGAAAGGAACTCTGCAATTGCTTCTCCGTGAAGCTCGCAGTCAATCATCTCTTTTGCTGATCATTATTGGCAAGGTCATTTAGCTATCCACCTGAATTCAAACTGATAAAAGTTGACAAGCATAAAACTTGCAATATTTTGTTTTAATTAAAGTAAACACTACTCAATGTGACTCCAGTTTCTTTGCTCACATGGAAATCTAAAAATATTATCATTAAGATATCTGCCTTTATTAGTCATTACTTTCTATAAATTAAAAAGGTATTGGGTTCCACAATTTTCGTATCCACCTTTCCCAAACTTCATTTAAACAAAGCAAATTGCAAACTCTGCTAACTATCCGGAAAGTGACTTCTTACACAAAGATAGGACCCTTTGGAAATAAATAGTCTTTTTAACACCTTAGCATCATTCTTTTGGAATTATAGTCATGTGTTCTCAAAGAAGAAAATATTAGAGACCATAAAAATAAAAAATAATTAGAGTTAGCAATTATATCATGAATTTTTTAAGGTGCTTAAATCAATCTGCCAGCCCATTGTAAGTTGACAAGTTAAAAACAATGGAAGCTAACTATCCTGAATTGAGAAATAATTGCGTTATCAAGAGATTTTGATTAAATTAATTAATAAAGAATCTACTATGCTTTGCTTAATTTCAGAAGTATGAATATCTTCCATGAATACACACACATACACAAGTTTGCAGGCTAGATTTAATCAGCCTAATTGTTACCGAAAGTATAAAATACCGGTATGTACTACATCATTCGATTCATAGAACCTTTATCTTTTAATCTCTTCTGGCAAAGCTCATTAACAGAACATAAATATGTGAACTCTTTATTTAATACCTCAAGTCTTTTGAGGAGAGTTTCCATGAAAGCCTACTTTGGTAGAGGGGGTCTATTACCAAGCTGCTTTAATGTGGTATTCGCATTCTGATATCCCTCTCTCTGGCCAGAATTAGCCATTACCCCGGGCATCCACATCGCCGGACCTGCATCGATGACTTATCAGCTGTGTACGTCGACCACTGCCCTACCGACACACAGCTGATTAAACAGATTTCTTCAACTCTTTTGCAATCTAGCAACCTGGATACCATTTGGATGTCCATACATTTACAATGACGAATTACTATGATTTACATATGGAAGAGCCTCTGATAATGAGTCATGAGGGGAAACATCGTGCACATATGTGGAAGCCTATCTAATTTTCTAGTCCATCATTGCATCATGGAGTAATAGGGAAACGTCCAAAACACCCAATTTCGTGCCATGAACGTTGAGTGGCGAGAAAATAGAACACTTGCCTGTTTTCATAGAACCTACTACGCAGACTCATCAGTACATATAGTAAAAGAAGGTAATTTTAAGAATTAATGGGAATACCTTTGGTTAATTCCTTATCGATATGGGTTTCTCCTCCAAAATTCCTTATTATTTGAACCATACCTTCGAGTTTTATATATTGTTGAAAGTCATTTTGTTCTCCGACTTATGCAACTAGCAAAGTGGGTACAATTTTATTAGAGCCTTGATGGATTTATTTTAGAAATTTTCTTTAAAAATTTGAGACAGTGAAATAGCAGTTTGGGTCCATTAGATCAAAGTTCTGAAAGTGGAACTTGGATAGTGTGTAAATATTGCCAAATCAGTGCAACTGAAAATGTCTCTTTTAGTTACTTCTAACTTCAATTACAGCAGTCAGTAGGGTATGGGAGGTCATTTCAATCGCCAATCGTGTTGAAGTGTTTAAGAAGAACTTCCACCCATGTCTCTCACATGACCATGACGGAGGTTCGCATAAAACACCGAACAACCGCAAAAGTAACTTACGATGTCAACAGATAAAAAAATACTCCCCCTACCCTCCCCCCCCCCCACCCTCAAAGTGTCAATTGACTTCTATCGTTAGTCCTTAGTTCACTTCCAAAACATTGCAGATATGATCCTGGAGTCAGCTAGCAGGAGGGAGCATCACAGTCCAGTGGTGTATTGTGTTTGAATGAGGGGGGGGGAATTTCGTGAGTCAACAGAAGACAAATTTTTCACAAAAATATCCAGGTTTTCTAATGATATTAAAAAATAATTTTTTGTTTTTGCTATTTGGGGATTTTAGATATTATTTTACTTAAGTAATAAAAGTTATCGACGTCAAATGCGTCGGTGTCAAAAATTAAAGGAAAATGGTAAAAAAATAAAACTATTTATGAACCAATCAAATTTAAAATTAACTCAACACTTACATGAATGTTGAATCAAAAACTCCAAAAGATTAAATCAATTTCAATTCACATAATGACAAACGCCAGCATATTAAGCATACAATATGGATAATTTACTGAGTCATTAAGTGAAAATTTATTCAAATTGTGGTTGGCAAATGCATTATTTCAAAAAGTTACTCTCTTAAATTGATTGCAAATGTTGATTGTTGCACAATTTTTGAAGGTCATAGTATAATTGCACCGATGTCAAGCTCAGTGGTTAACGTGCTCATCTGTGAAGCAGAGTTTGATAATCCTAAGTGCACAAAAGAAAATGGGACCAAACCGAAACGGTTAAGTAGATCAGTTCCAAGACCTCGTGCATCTGATGGAGCAGAATCTAAAAAAAGCCTTTGGCAATATGCAAGTGATGTTGGCTTCTTCACAATACAACCGGTGGGATAAATAATAGAACTTCGAATATGACTTTGTATGACTTGCAGAGAGCACACTGCACTAATCATGAACTGTGCTAAATTTTACCCTTAAATACACACCATAAAAGAACGATAAACGATGTAAGATAAAGTCAATCAATAAATTGAAAAATACAAAACGGCTTCTGAGCGATATGATAATATTAAATAATTTCCTGCATTTTTCTTACTTTTCACATCAAGTCTAATCAGCGAAGGAATGTAGTTTATTACAGTGGGTCGGTAATGCCCAGACGTTTCCTCCAGTAAATCGACCTTCTCAATATCTGAACAAAATATTTGATCAAAATCGATCGGAAGATTACCTGGAGGATAGCAGCAAGGATTTCCTAAGAGAAAAAGTGTATGAAGTAAAGAGAGTCCACTTAAGTGACGAACTTCGTTTAAATCAAAAATGGAATTGTTTCGGAGGTATAGCTCTTTTAATTTAACGCAGGCGGAGAAGGGTTGTAGGCTCGATATGTTGTTGGAACTGTGAATTTGACAAATTAAATTATATTGTTGAAAACATTTTAAAACACTCAGCAGAAAAAAATACCTTAGAGAAATGACTTCGAGTGTTGGAACTCGATGGAGCAAGGAAGCGTCGCATATTCTGAGTCCCCTTGAAAAATATGACTGAGAGAAAACTTACCAAAGATTAACCCGTTTAACTTTTTCTAGACAATCTTTCTGAGCACGTCTTAGAATCATTGTTTCAGTCAATGGATGACCAATCATTTTAAACCTAAAGATAAACGCATATAACTGCCATATGTTAAACTTAGCTTAAATAGCATGCTCTATTAAACTGAGAAAACTTATAAATAATTTTTAAAAAAAGGAAGATATATAAAAATAATCTTGATCAAAAATAATATTTATAACAGTGGTATTTCGGTTTTTAAGTCGCTGTATAATTCAGTATAATAAATCAGAATTATGAGCATTTACAAAAATGTTCAAACTGGACAACAACCTATTAAATATGCACGTCTAAATAGAGTCAACAAATCGACACAAATAAACACAAAGGTCGTATCCATTATTTCTATAAACTATCAAGCATTAAAACTTTCTTATTCATTTTATTCTAGCTTATATTTTCTTTATTTGTGCTTCTAAGTATATTTATTTGGCAAAAATAGTCATCCAAACAATTATCTGAAATTTAAAATATTTACTTCATTAATTCATTTTTCCGATTTTGATGCCTGTGGGATCATTCATGAGAATTTTTATTTAAAACATAATCTTCATTAAGATACATTGTTTTTTAAACTGCTAGCTTAATCGACTTGGTTACCCTAAAGAATCGAAAGTTGGCAAAACTATTCGCATTTTAAGGGAATGAAATATATAGCACTACGTAAAAGATTAAATTGGTATTTGTAGTGTCGAATGGGTTTAGTTGAGACATACCGTTACCATAAGTAAAGTTGTGGTAAAGTTGATTCTCGTAGCTGAAATATGTCGTCTATATACGGAGATGCTAACAATTTAAGTGACACTAAGGACACGACCATTTAAAAACAGGGTTTATTCCAATTGGATATTATCTTAAGTGACTCCAATTGATGCCAAATCTCAGTTCAAAATTGATAATGAACTCCATCTTCCACTTGAAACATTTAATTGTGACACTCATTATGGATCGAGTCATGACAACTAGAAATTATATATTAATGCTGATCCTGAGTGAATTCTAATGAGTTCTGATATATTTACAAGGCTTACGCTAATCTCATATCATGCGGTAAGAAAAGTGAGAACGGATCTATCTAATATGGTCCTCCATACAACAAAAGTGTCTGTCAATCAACTTAGGAATTCGATAATTAAATATTGATTATTTTGCTTTGGAGCATTTGGATATTGCAGAGTGAATTAAATCTCATATTGTTGCCGATTCCATTTGAAGTAAAACGGTTTTACTTACGATTTAACTAAGTTTTCTATTCGATTTCCTCTTTCTGTTTAACGCGTGGTTCAAACCTTTAAGTTTTCTAAGGTGACAAAATTGAAATCTAGCTTGATCCATATCAGTTAAATTGATTAGTCCAAACAAGGCACACTGTCATGCTGTCAATAGCTGAATCAGTCTGTAAACTGTTTTTACAGTTCCATTATTTCTAGTGAATAAGAATGACAGCACTTGGCATCACAGAGCCGTTTAGCAGCAAAAATCGATTAAGATAAGTAATTACTAAATGCTCAAGATAGTAATGATTAGAAGGATATTTAATTTACCTAAAGGTGAACTCGAATCTTCTGAATGGCAATAGTTGTTTGTATAACTAGTATAATTACCTCCACGTGGTGCAGCCTGGGCAACGTATATGCATACGGCAAAAAGTCTATTAAGCGGGAGGGACTTTTGTCATCAAACTACCATCACCTCACTGTATGTCATATCCGACTACTTCGACAGTACTCACCTCACCTTTTTCCCACCTTTGTGTTTGTCTCTTTTACATCGTTAAAACCCTCTTTTGTCCCCCCCCCGTTTCTCGACTTTTTTCACTTTGATGTTCATCCTCCTCTCTGTGAAACCTAAAGTCAACTAACGGGCTAATGGTAACTATCAAAACGTTTGCCATTTGGCATAAAATAACTCTGTGCTACAAAATTAGGATGACCGTGTAATGGTTTAATTAGAGATAATTTCTTGAAAAACGCTAGCTTTTCGAATACACTTTAGGAGGTAGAGGAACAGAGTTTATTATGAAAGTACAGACTAGAATGGATATAAAGAAGGATGCAGGTATATTCAAGGACATACTGTGTTGAATTAACGCGACATTCCTATCCACCTCCCGAACAAAGCGATACCTGAGGGATAGCAGTGTTGTTAATGATTACATACCAAATAAACAACGGATTTTGAATGGATAAATTTTCATTATTTTCACTACTCACAATATTACAAAAAAGTCACAGGTATAATTATGGGAAATAAGTTACACCGACTATCGGAGAATGCAAATGATTAAGGGAAGGGAACCAAATGATTGTAAGAGCGGCTTCAAAGCATCAAAAAGGTGGGTTTAATTTCGGTTTTACACTGTTTGCCAAGTGGTGTGGGGCAATAGACTTACCTCCACGTGGTGCACCCTGGGCAACGTATATTCATAAGGTGAAAAGTCGATTGTTCGGCAATTGACTTCTGACTTCAAACTACCATCACTCCACTGTATGTCATATTCCACCACTTCCACAGCACTCACAATGCTTTTTCTGACTAATTTACATCTGTGGATCACTCTTCAGACCCCCCCCCGTCGACATTTTGAAACTTTCCCTGTTCCTCCCCTCGGTGAAGTCCGAATTCAACTAAAGGGCTAATGATAACTATCGAAACGCCTGCCATTTGAAATAAATAATTAAATAAATATATGAATTTATACGCAGCTCTAAAATCCTCAACAATCTCGGAAAATGTCGTTTTAAAATCATCTCTGATCTCATACATTATTTTCGTTGGACCAGAGCCAAAAACTCACGGTTACTCTAGTCTTCACCCCTGGTTAACTTGTTTTGTTTGCTCATGTTACAACCTTCCCTTCATTTCACATATTTCATCCTTCTCACCTTCTTGCGGTTATTGGTTGACTGCTAATCCTTCTTCTGCTCATTTTTAATAAAAATATTCGTTCGCTGTGAATTCTCCGATCTTCGAGAAAGCTAAATTACTAAACCTAGGGAAAGGATGAACTTATTCCTCTTTAATCTATGCCAATTTAGAGATTTTCCTCCTAAATTTGAAACATAGCTTTCGAAATTCCGCTAGCTTTCCACCGCCTTCTAGGAAGTGTGAGCTGCTGCCATTTTCTCCTCTAGGCGAAGATAAAACGAGACATAGAGCAGATAATGACCTTTCTTAATTAACATCAAAAATCAATATAGGCCATCAGACTCCAACACCAATCAGAACTTCTATCTACAGATTCATTCAACTTCGTACCGTATTCAAAATAAGTTCGATTCCAGTACAGAAGTTATTCTATACAAAGACAAGAAAATTCCAGAGTGAGAGAGAGTGAAAGAGAAGGGGACAATAAGAATAGATAGCTCAAGTAAAGTGGAAAGGAACTAAAAGGGGGAATTGAAGATAGGAATAAAAGGCCACCACCAATCAAGGAAGACGGAATAGAAGTCCAAATACCTAGTTCTTGGGGGGAACAAGAGGTTTAACCCAAGCATTTTTACGTGGGGTATTTCCTGTTTTCTGTGGTGCCTCTTGTGGCTGCTCGCTATTATTGATGTCACCCACTTCCGACGATGATACCTAAAATAGGAAACACGATAATTATGAATAAATTAGAGCGTGCACCTAAGCTCTAGCACAATGCGTGCAGTAAAGCGAAAGCACAACAATCATGTTTAACAAGTAACATGAACAAGAGTTGATCAACGCTCATATTGCACAGAGCAAAGGTATCTACGAGCCGCCTACATAGGAAATTCGCAGTATACCATATCTCAATTGATCAGGTGATCTTGCGAACAGTGACGAATTTTGGTCATTCAACCTCTGAAATTTGCCAGAAGTGTAATCTGACCGTTACGCCACCGCCGCCTACGAATGAATACATAATAGAACACAAAAAACGAATATCTGGTGAAATGAACTAATGATTGCTATAGAGCATGCGCCCGAAGCAAGGCTAAAGGTAAGTGCTATTCGATGTCCATAAAAACTCACTTTGGCAGAGGAAGTGGTTTTATTGTTTTCATCACTTAGTTTAGCAAGCCTCATTTTCTGCAAAAAGCACAAATCACAAAATGGCGGAAAATTAGCAAGATATAGTACTACTAATTTGATAATACAAATTGACACATGGCACCTGTAGAACTAACCTCCTCGATCTCACGCTCACGAGCAACAATGTCGACAGGCTTTGCTGCTCCGAAAATCGCCTTCTGGCGATCACTGACAGCTGCTGCCTCAGTTTCCTCCGCGTTTAGGGGTTTAGTTCGAGGCAAGATATTAATTTTTGGACGTTCCATGGGAGGGGCAGTAGTAGCCCCAGAAGGTGCTCCTGGGTTTGAACGACGGAAACCTGATGACGTCATTGAACCCTGGGACGCTTGGGTTAGTGGCGGTGATTTTTGTAAGTTTACAGACCGACGAACCCAACCACCAGATGATTGGCCTTCACTTCCCCCATCGGAGCGACTAGAATGGAAAAGAGAACGGATAATAAAAAGAATTTACAACAAATCCCTGTTCGCTAAAGAACACTATTATTTGATGCTATTAAGCTCATCTGATCAAATATGAAGCAATTGGATTTCCCAAATGGATAAGAATGCAAACGTCGATAATGCTTTTAAATAGATATCGCAGAAAAAATTAACGATGCATTGATAAGTAATGTCAGGCATTTTAAGCAAAATAAGACCAGCGTCAGAAATCGAACTTGTGCAGACTTGATACTGTCTTAGAGAAAATATTAAGTGTAGATCGAAAGCAAACACGCCACGATTATTATACTTTGAAAACCTCGCCAATATGATGACTGGCTTAAGCTTATGCCACATAACAAGGACCTTGATAATTAGGATAATCAACTCCTTAAAGTCTTAAGGAAACTTGAAAAACTAATAGAAGTGCTTACATCACGTTACTTAAGAAGCGGAGAATATATTAGTCGCATTCTGCCTTGCCGTGTACATTAACCACTTATCAGACAGAAAGTAGAAATACATTTGGTCAACCACCTATTTCAATAGTAGTAACCAATGCAGTTGGTCAATCATTATTCGGTTTTAAAACGAGGGAGATAGCAGAACGCATAAAAGCTGCTATTTCTAATTAATTTATAGGAGCAACACATGCCATAGCATTCGATATGCACTCATTAACATTTTAAGTTTAATAGCAAGCAAGACGCACAATAGGCCTGTTGGAAAATTCTTACCCATAGTTATATTGACCTCCAGAGAAATACCTATTAAGCAAAAATTAGAAATAAAGAAAAAAATGAGTTAATTTATTCAGTCAAAATAATATAAAGCTATAAATACACAAAAAATAGTTCTGGTATAGCAGAAAAACGGATCCTAAGTAAATTTGAATGCTAAAACAATGAGATTTAGCTAGCAATCTAAATATCTACCCCGAAAAGTACTTACTTTCTCCTATTAGAACCTCTATCGTAACCATTTAAATTACTGCAAATAAGAATGTTATTATTAATTAAATCACCGTTTAATAGTTCGGTGGAGGCAAAATTAGACTCTGAAATAAAAAATAAAACATACCCGCCGTAATTTCTTCGGCTTCCAAAATCGCTGCGAGAGCCATAGGATCCTCTGTTATCGCTGGAATTCTGAAAGATTTACCAAAGTGCATACTAAACTAAGAGTTGATCTTCAAAATTTTCAAGTAATTGAAGGAATTAAACGTACCGCAATGCGGATTGAAACATTACGGGTCATTAAGGCAGTATCATTTTTCCGCAATGCCTCGATTAGATCTACCTTTGACGCAAAATCAACGGTACAGAACCCGTGATTTTGACCACTATCATCCATATTGATAGACAAGGGCACGAGAGGATGAAAAAATCTTTAAAGTAAAATTAGAGAAATAAGTACAAAAGACAAAGTCAGATAAAGGCTTCAACAAAAGATAAAGAAGTTACCCCTCAATATCGGCTCTTCTAGCGGTGTAAGGAACATTACTCATCGCTACACGGAATGGGCCAGAATCTGGAATTTTTGCAACATCTTCTTCAATACGGACTGCCTGCGGAGCAGATGGGAGATTAGCCTTCATTTGATGCAACCTCATCTTCTCCTCAGAAGATAAAGCAGCAACGGCTGGATCGGCCTCAATGCCATCTACAATCTAATTAAGTCGCATAAGTTATAAATAAGTGCCGAGAGATAAAATGCAAAGGAACCGAGAAAAAAATAAGACACAGATGTCGAATCAAGTTAAAAAATAAACTTGCACTGGTATTTGCATATCTAAAGTCAATATCCAGGGTTTGATTAAACCTCTTGCTATTCTTTTTCTTCGGCATCGTCTAACACACAGTGACAAGAATGAAGAGCACGCTAGAAATTTTGCGCAAGTATTAATAGAATGATAAAACAAAATTCATTTCTTTGGAAAAAACATAATAAAAGCCACTGATTTATATCTTCTTAAAATAATCATAGTTTTAAGTTATTTTGTTTGAAGATTACATTATAGAAATCGAGACCATATATTCCCCTACATATAAAATAAATTTCTAAAAATATCCTCAATGTAAATATAATTTATTCTCTTGTGGAAAGATGGCCGCAGAGATATTATTCTAGGATTATTTATTCATCAACTTTAGTTGTTCCTTTCCCATTATCAAATTCTTCTAAATTTGTCTAACTATGAAGACAACCAACCGCATACAGAGTGAAAGATAATTTCTGATTGAAACTTGTCTGTACTCTTTAATGCAGTAACACATTTCGCTTATCATTCTGTGATGCAGAGATGAAAATCAATATTTCAGAGTAATGGAAAATCCATTTGGAAGTGGACAGTTAGTCCAGAATTTCCTTTCAAAACTTAAAAAGATTGAGCATTTTTCAGTCAACAACTTCTAATCAGTGAATATATTGAAGTTGTGAAAATCTAGAAGCCAATAGTAGCCCTATGTTTTAAGCTTATCTTTTCAACCTAAAAGATTAGATTATATACCTGTAAAATACTTGAGTCTAAAATCATTTTCATTCTCTAATCATTTGTCTTTCCAAAATTTCCTCATTTCATTTAATCAATCTTCTGTAAACTGTTGTGTTGTGAAATTCGAAAAATCTAGACAGTGTGATGTTTTATCATCTCCTAATGAGAAATTCTACGTCTAATCTTATATGCATACTCAATTAACTTTCAAACATGTTGTATCATAATGGAAATATACTTGCAACACGCTTTATACACTGGATTTTTTTAATTTAACTCAATTCCTTTATGATTTGCTTTACTTAGATCAGGCACAGTAAGCAGCAGCAAAAACTTGCCTATGATATTGTTAGTCAACCAAAATGGCTATAACATTTAGACAAAAATAATTTGCTACTTTTTTATAATTTTCTTCTCCTTTATTGTAAGAAATTTTCTGGAACCAGCAAATATTGCCGAGAAGCCGTAATGAGTCCGAAAAGACGCTAGTTGTGTACTCATATTCCCTTGTCACAAGCATTATTTAGATTTAGATGCTTGTATTTGATTAGTATATTTACCTTTAGCTCCAATTTATTCGGGCCAAATCGGCATAGATCGGTATTGTGTTAAGAATAATACAGATTACATTTGTTAATAAAATCTTTCTATTAGAAAAATAAGATTAGAAGGAACTTTTATGCTACTGATAAATAATATAACCGAAAATGTTCTAGGTGAGGCGAGAAATGAGGAGCAACTAAAGAAATAAATACCTGATCATTTTTCATAAATTGTAGTTATATCTACTTGAAGATATTCGTGATAGGAAAGTTGACGTCAATAAGCACCAGGTGGTGATTTCACGACAACAGTTGATTCAACTGTGCGTGTTTGTTTGTATTTAGTCATTTAAGTAATGTTCAATTATCGCGCCAAGATATTGAAATGGAGACGTGACTGATGTCTAACGAAGAATTTTTCTGGGTATAAACCAAAATTATCTCACAATAAGGTGGGGGTAGCCTATCGACCATCGAAATGGATAGTCTGACATCATATTCGTTAAATCTATTTGTTCACTATCTTTAACCTTCATTTCAATTCATTAGTTGTATTTCCACTCAGTCGTGCAAGTGATCACTATTCATAATTTAAGTCATCCAAATTTCACATATAAGCATTTGAAATTTGCTTAAATTTATATTTCAATTTTTGATCATGGGTAAAAAGAAGAGGAAGATTAATTTTAATCAAACAATTGACATTGGATTTTCGTCTGTCAGTCGAAAAGTACGCTATATTCTTCCTTCTATTTTTATAATTTATCATTCTTCCAGGAACAGAATCATGAACAAGTCAAAGATATTTTGTCCCAAGAAAAATTAGCTGTTCTGAATCAAATGAAAATGCAGCTTCCTAAAGCTCCCGAATCTGAGCGACTACATGAAACCATTGACAAAATACCTGATTCCGGACCATTTATAATAATAATTAGAAACCTTGACTTTTCTGCAGGAGGGGCTGATGTCTGTGGGTATGGGAAGGCTATTTACCTAAATTATAATATTTGCCAGATTTCTTCATCCAATAAAACCGATCAGAATTGATATTAGTAACCATTCAAGACTTCTTAAAGGCCGTTGTTTGGTGTTCCTCTCTTCCAAGCAGGACCTGATTCGTGCTTTTGAAAAAAATAACAAATTCCTTCTTAACCGGGAGGTGCAAATGAGCATTGCGAAAGAGGTATGATCATTCATGGATGAATTAAATAATTATAAAATGTGTTAAATAACGTTAAACTTAATTAAAAAGGCAGAAGTTGCAGAATTTCGCAAGATCTTGAATGGAAAAAGGTGGGTGATATTTTGTGACCATTAAATTATCGACTGATAACCTAAATCTAGTTTCAGAACCGAAAATTACAACCAATTTAGTTCCGGAAGCCTAAACTAGTACGTTCATGCATCTTTACCTTTCATCACAAAAGAATGATAACACTAATGATTTGAATATTACAGTGATGAACCCAAGGGGTGGACGCGAAGGAAAATCGATCCTGGCGAAACGAAAACTGACTCTGGGTAAGAGGTGAATTTTCATGAAATAAAGTAACTTATATTTACGCCTGTTTTAGAATAACAACTAACGGTTGGGTGCGCAAAAAAAATCAATTTGCTACAGAAAATAAATAAGCAAGAAATAAAAGCAAATCAACTAATGATTATAGAAAATTATTTATTTATTTGAAAGTTAGCAAGAATTCCTTGAATCAACTTGCTTACCTTTGACTTTTATATGCTATGCGCTTTTAATCCATGTTATAATATAAAAGTAAATATGTAAATAAAATTAATTAGAAAAATACTTCTGATATTGAACATATTAAGTGGGCACTAATTCTCAACAATTTGTTTCGATGAAAAATGGTAACTTTATTTTAATTATTGATGAATTTGTGCGTAAATTTAAGATCATTCAGCACCAATAAGCATTGGACTCGCAACGTGACATTTGGTACTTAATTTTACCTTTCATCGAGTTGATATTTATGTCTAAAATTATGCACTTCTGGATATTTTTTCATATTTTGTCTTTAGAAATGTGGAGTTCATTAAATATTCATGAAGATATCCTAAAAGCAATTAACGAGCTTAAATTCGATGAACCTACACCGATTCAACAGCAAGTTCTTCCTCTTGCTATTCGCGACCATTCGGATATCTTAGGTTCAGCACCGACTGTAAGAAGTTATAAGCTTTTATCTGATAACGCTTTTCTTAGGGAAGTGGCAAAACCTTGGCCTTTGGTATCCCTTTAATAATGCGCGTTCTGGAAGCTAAGGCTAAATTCGGTGATCCCAAGATAGATTTTGGTCCTTCTTCTAAACTCCCCAAAAGTTTGTTTTACTTTTTATTTATTCGCCTACTCTAGAGCGCGAAAGGCAAGATGAAGTGTCAAATTCAGATGTACAGCCTCTTAAAACTGAAAAGAAAAGAAGAAAAATCATGGATGAGTTGGCCTTTATTGAGGAATTGGATCCTGATTCGATGAATGTTGTCAAAATCCACGACCTCTCCAAGAAGGATGTGATTTCACCCTCTTGGAGTGATCCGAAAGTCAGCCAAGAAGTACCAGATTCCTGTGTCCGTGGATTGGTCATCCTTCCCACTCGAGAATTGGCTATTCAGGTAACTTTGCTACTCGATTGTAATTTTTTGCTCTTCAAATAGGTTACATCTCATTTGAGAGCAATAGTTACTCATGTCACATCTCCGTCAATTGCAATTGAATCTATTGTTGGTGGAATTTCCTTTCAAAAACAGGATCGGATTCTCAAGCAGCATAAACCGGATATTATTGTCGCCACACCTGGTCGACTTTGGGAATTTATCCAAGCAGTGAGTCTAAATTGATTGTCAGTTTACTTACCCTTTATCATTGTTTTTATTATTAGCATACACTTCTGTACGATTAATTATTCATTTATTTATATCAAATGGCAGGCGTTTTGATGGTTATCATTAGCCCTTTAGTTGACTTCGGGCTTCACAGAGGGGAAGGAACGTCAAAGTGAAAGAAAGTCGAGAGGAGGTGGGGAGGGAACAGAAGAGTGTTTCAAATTCGAAGGTAGAAAGGTAGAAATGAGGTGAGGTGAGTACTGTGGAAGTAGTCGAATATGACATACAGTGGAATCATGGCAGTTTGAAGTCAGAAGTCAATTGCCGGTTAATAGACTTTTTCGTCGTATGAGTATACGTTGCCCAGGATGCACCACGTGGAGGTAAGTCTAGCGCACACCCCAAAGGTGATGGTGGTTGAAGTGTGAAGTCAACCACCTGTTTGTAGACTTTTTTGCCGTATGAGTATACGTTGTCCACGGTGCACCACGTGGGGGTAAGTCTATCGCGCACCCCTAATACTGATTGATTAACTTAAGCAATTGATGAGGGGTCTTTGAGGTTATTGAAATCGGAAATATTTAAAAAATTTTTCAGAAATATCTACCAAATCTTTCCGCTTGATAAAATCTAAATTCAATCAAGCAAGTAATACTTAAAAGGTGAAATTTATTTACTACTTACTCTATCCCCTTTAACATATTACAACAACTTTTATGCATGATCTTATATCAGATTTCCGCACAAAATAGAAATTGATTTTGGACTGAAATAGCTACTAAATTTGTATAATGATCAACAACTATCTAGAAGCAATAATCAAAAGCTATTGGTTTTCCTAAAACAAGTTTAATGTACAAAATATTTTTCAACAATTTGTTTATAATTTCACTGTTATCATTATTCAATTATTGATCTGACAATTTGTTTGCTTCTTTGCTTCGTCCTCTATATGACTCATCTCAAGGCCTTTAGGCGATATATCGATTTGTATTTAGTAATTTTAACATATTTTTTAATTAAATTCTCTTACTTATTTACAAAGGCAATCTAATATCTTACAGTTATTTCATGCTTTGCTTCTAATGACTGTGAAAAATAAGAATCGATACAAAAAGTGACACATGAATGCAGTTCAAGGGTTTTGTAACATTAATATTATTTCAAAAGCCAGACTTTATGATATTTATCATTAGGCCCTTAGATGACATCGGTTTTCACAAGGGGGGGGGGG